CGGGGGTCCCCATCTGCCCCCCCCCCCCCCCTCCCCGAGCCCCCATCCCGGCCGGGCGCGCAGGGGTTAAGGGAAGCTGCGGGCCCTTTAAATGGGCGGGGCGGGGCTGAACGGGGCGGGGCCGTGCCCGCAGGCGGGGCTGGTGGCCAATCAGAGCCGAGGAGGAGGGGCGTGGGGCCAGTGGGCGGGGCCTCGGGGCTGAGCTGAGCCCCGCCCCCCCGTCAGAGCCTGGGGACACCTGGGGACACTTGGGGACATCTGGGGACACCTGGGGGACACCTGGGGACACTTGGGGGACACCTGGGGACACCTGGGGACATCTGGGGACACCTGGGGGACACCTGGGGACACTTGGGGACACCTGGGGACACCTGGGGACACCCGGGGACATCCCACCCACACCTGGGGTCCCACAGTTTCCCAGCCTGGGACAAGAGCAGCTTTGGGGTCAAATCCGGGGGATTTGGGGTTGGGGACATCTGGGGACATCTGGGGGACACTTGGGGACATCTGGGGGGCACTTGGGGACATCTGGGGACACCCCACCCACACCTGGGGTCCCACAGTTTCCCAGCCCGGGACAAGAGCAGCTTTGGGGTCAAATCCGGGGGATTTGGGGTTCAGCCAGGCAATGACCCTCCCCCCCACATACACTTTTTTCCCTTTTTCCCCATTTTTCACCCCAAAAGGTTTTTTTTTTCCCAGCTCCTTTGGGGCTCCTGGGGTTCGCTGGATGCTGGGGTTGGGTTTGGGGTGAATTCCCTGGGTTGGGGTGAATGCTCTGGGTTTGGGGTGAATTCCCTGGGTTTGGGGTGGATTCCCTGGGTTTGGGGTGGATTATCCTGGGATTCGGTGCCTGGGTAGGGAGGGATCCTGGCGGGATTCCAGAAGCTTCCCTGGGCAGAGGCAATGCCAGGAGCAGGGTGAGATCCTGCCAGGAGATGGATCCCAAAATCCAGGGGGGATCCCAAAATCCAGGGCAGGGACAGATCCTGGATCAGAGCAGATCCCAAAATCCAGAACAGGGACAGGTCCTGGATGGGAGCAGATCCCAAAATCCAGGGGGGATCCCCAAAAGAACAGGGACAGATTCTGGATCCTGCCCAAGAGCAGATCCCAAAATCCAGGGCAGGGACAGATCCTGGATCCTGGATGAGAGCAGATCCCAAAATCCCGCTGGGACCCCCACAAGAACACGGGCAGATCCCGGATCCTGCTGGATGGAGCACGGTGTGGGACCCCCTGTCCCACCGATCCCACCTCCCTCCAGGGGATCCCCGGCGACTTTGGGGTGAAAACACCGATATTCGGCCCCCCGCAGCATCCCGACGATCCCGGGGCGATCCTCCCTGGGCAGGAATTTCCCGACCCCGCAAATCCCCCCCCAGGACAGGACCCAGCGGGGATTTCCCGCAGCACCAAAACCCCCCCATCTCGCCCCAAAACGCGCTCGGGGATCGCTGGCGCGGCCCGGGGCGGGCAGCGCTTATCGCGGCGATTACCGAAATCGCGGTGATTAGCCCCAATCCTCAAAAGGCCACGATGGCGGCGCCCCGCCCGTCTGGAGCCGCCGACGGCCCCGAAGGCGGTGGCGCCGACCACGCGCGGCGCCTAGGCCCCGAACCGAGACACCGGGAGCGGCGACGGCACCGGCACCGGCAGCGCCTGGAGCGCTGGGAATACTGGGAGCACTGGGACGGAGCGCTGGGGTGTCCAGCCAGACTGGCCAGACCAGCTCCACGCCACGCCAGGAGAACTGGAAGCACCGGGAGCGCCGGGAATACCGGGAGCACCGGGAGCACCGGGAATACCGGGAGCACTGGGAGCACCGGGAATACCGGGAATACCGGGAGCACCGGGAGCACTGGGAGCGCCGGGAATACCGGGAGCACTGGGAGCACCTGGAGCACCGGGAATACCGGGAGCACCGGGAATACCGGGACGGAGCGCTGGGGTGTCCAGCTCCACGCCACCAGCGACACTGGCCGGACCAGCCCCACGGCACGGCAGAACTGGGGACACCAGAAACACCTGGACGAAGGAGCCACATCCAGGCACGCGCCATGCGGGGACCGCCGGTGACACGGGAGGTGGCACGGGAGGTGACACGAGAGGTGACATGAGAGGTGTCACGAGAGGTGGCACGGGAGGTGGCACGGGAGGTGACATGAGAGGTGACACCAGAGGTGACATGAGAGGTGACACAAGAGGTGACATGAGAGGTGACATGAGAGGTGACACAAGAGGTGACATGAGAGGTGACACCAGAGGTGACGCCAGAGGTGGCACGGGAGGTGGCACGGGAGGTGACACCAGAGGTGGCACGGGAGGTGACATGAGAGGTGACACAAGAGGTGACACCAGAGGTGGCACGGGAGGTGACATGAGAGGTGACACGAGAGGTGGCACGGGAGGTGACATGAGAGGTGACACGAGAGGTGGCACGGGAGGTGGCACAAGAAGTGGCACGAGAGGTGACACCAGAGGTGGCATGGGAGGTGGCACGAGAGGTGACGCCAGAGGTGGCACGGGAGGTGGCCACGGCACGCCAGGAGCGCCGCAGCCTCGCTGGGGAGGCACGAGGACGCTGCGGTGTCCCCCGCCGCGCCGCGCCGCTGGCACTGCGGCGGCCGTCGCGCTGCCACGCGGGGAAGCCGCGGGACACTTCGACATGTGGCGGGACTACCTGGGGCTGGCGGCCGTGGTGGCCGTGCTGCTCCGCCAGCCTGCGGGCCTCGGGGACATCTCGGGGTCACTGGGAGCTCTGGCTCCGTCTGCCAGGCCAGCTCCACGTGCAGGGCCAGCTCCACGTGTGGGACCTGCTCCATGTGCCGTGACATCTCCACATGTGGGACCTGCTCCGTGTGCTGAACCAGCTCCGTGTGCCGTGCCAGCTCTGTGTGCCGGGCCAGCTCCACATGCAGGGCCAGCTCCATGTGTGGGACCAGCTCCGTGTGCCGGGCCAGCTCCGTGTGCTGAACCAGCTCCACATGCTGGGCCATATCCACATGTGGGACCAGCTCCGTGTGCCATGCCATCTCCACATGTGGGACCAGCTCCATGTGCCAAACCAGCTCTGTGTGCTGAACCAGCTCTGTGTGCCGTGACATCTCCACATGTGGGACCTGCTCCGTGTGCTGAACCAGCTCTGTGTGCTGAATCAGTTCCATGTGCCGGGCCATCTCCACATGTGGGACCAGCTCTGTGTGCCGAACCAGCTCCACATGTGGGACCAGCTCTGTGTGCCGAACCAGCTCTGTGTGCCGAACCAGCTCCATGTGCCGGGCCATATCCACATGTGGGACCAGCTCTGTGTGCCATGCCAGCTCCACATGTGGGACCAGCTCCATGTGCTAGACCAGCTCCGTGTGCCGAACCAGCTCCACGTGCCGGGCCACCTCCCCCTGTGGGACGCCCTGCGTGCTCGTTCTGCCAGCACAACGGCGAGGCCCCGGGCGTGTACCAGAGCCACAGCCTGCGGGATGCCCGGGGCCGGCTGCAGTGCCCGGTGCTGCGCAGCTACGTGTGTCCCCAGTGCGGCGCCACGCAGGACCAGGCCCACACGCGCCGCTTCTGCCCCCGCACGCACCGCGGCTACACGTCCGTCTACGCGCGCCCCGCGCCCGCCGGCGGCGCCAGGAGGAGGCCGAGGGACGCCAGCATGTAGCCGAGGGACGGAGCAGCCTGTGTCGCCGCGCAGGTACCGCCGGGGCCGGGCGTGCCACGGCAGGCGTGGCACGCCCCGGGTACCGCGCAGGTACCGCCGGGGCCGGTTGGGATTCCCGTGAGGAATCTCGCGGTGGAGGGAAGGGGGAGCAGGGATGGAGGACGCCGCGTCCCCACGCGGGTTTGGGGTGTCCCAGCGATGGGGTGGCACATGCAAAGCTGGGTTTGGCCAGATTTCCCGTGAGGAATTTCATCAGGAAATCAGGGCTGCCAAGGGGAGGGCACCAGCAGACTGGTGGCAGGTGACACTGGGAAGCCACCAGAGGATGGAAGGTCCCCTGTCCCCGTGCAGGTACGGAGGGTTTTCAGATCCTGGATTTAGGCAGGAACAGGATTTCCATGAGGGAATCCCACCAAGGAGCCAGAGCTCAAGGAAGGAGGAGGCACTGGGAAACAAGTGACAAGAAGGAAGGAGCCGTGGATTTATCCAGGAACGGGATTCCTGCAGGAATCCCACCAGGAATTTGGCACTAACCATGGGGTACATGCTGCTGCTTCCCTCCCGGTGCTCCTGCCTCTCTCTCCTTGCTTCTCTTCCAGGAACTTCCCCAGAGGATGAGACCACGGCTTGGAGCTCCACTGGGACCAGTCTTGGAGCTCCACTGGGACCAGTTTGCCCAGTTTGTGCCGCCTCCCGACGCCGTGGCACCCGCAGGAGTCGTGGCACCCCAGATCTGGGTGCTGCCAGCGGGGCCAGCTCTGAGTTTTGGGTTCTGAGTTTTGGTTAATCCCAGAAGGGCTCGGCGCTCCAGGGGTCACCAGATGTTTTGGGTTGGATTGTTGAGTTTTGGTTAAACCCAGAAGGGCTCGGCGCTCCAGGGGTCACCAGATGTTTTGGGTTGGATTGTTGAGTTTTGGTTAATCCCAAAAGGGATTGGTGCTCCAGGGGTTACCAGATGTTTTGGGTTGGATTCTGAAGTTTTGCTTAATCTCAGACCGGGAAGGCGCCGGTGCTCCATGTGCTGGAGCTGTTACCAGATGTTTTGGGTTGGATTGTGGAGTTTTGGTCAATCCCAGCCAAAAAGGGGCTGGGAAGGGACCGGTGCTCCAGCTGCTGGAGCTGCTTCCAGGTATTTTGGGCGGGATTGTGGAGTTTTGGTTAATCCCAGCCAAAAAGGGGCTGGGAAGGGGCTGCTGCTCCTAATGTTGGATTCTTTGTCCCAGCCCCACAGCCATTCATGGCATTTTGGGTGAGTTTGGGTGGTTTTGGTGGGATTTTTTCACCCACGACGGCGTGAAGACCCCGGTAGTGAGTGCTGGAACCATTCTCCAGACGAAGCTTGGTTTATTCCCGCTGTTCCCATCAATAAATGATAATTATTATTAATTGCTCCTGGCGTCCCTACCCCTCTTTCCAGCGGCTTCCAGCGGGCGCCGCCCTGCGGCCACGCCGTGCCTTCGGCCTCCTCAGCAGCTCCAGCCCCCGGCGGGCTCCCATGGCCAGGCGGCTGTGGGGGGGCGTGGGCATCACTCAGGGGGCGCTGGACCCCCAATTTCAGTGAAATCCAGGCGGGTTTAGGACTTACTTGAGGTCTGAGAGCTCCCGGATCAGCCCGCGGATGACGTCGCTGGCGTCCGCCGGCTCCGCGGCCTTGGCGCTGCTGGGGGAGGAAAATTGGGGTTTTTTCACTCCCTAAATTGGGAATTTCAGGCAAAATCAGGATTTTGTTCCTGCAGGAGGGTCTGGATCCACCCACCTTTCCCATGGGGTGTTCCCTGTGGATCCGGTGTGGGCCTGGCCTGTGCTGTGCCATGGCTGCAGGGAAAGAAAGGAGCTGGGAAGGGCAAGGGGGTGGGGAGGGTCCCAGGTGAGGTGGGGAGGGGTCCCCGGATCCCAGTTTGGGTGGGGAAGGGACCCTGGATCCCAGTTTGGGATGGGGAGGGGACCCTGGATCCCAGTTTGGGATGGGGAGGGGTCCCCGGATCCCAGTTTGGATGGGGAGGGGTCTCTGGGTCCCAGTTTGGGGCCATCCCAGTTGTACCTTCTCCGCTGGGAGCTCTGGGCTGGTCCCTTCCCGCTGGGGCTCGGTGCCGGTGGCTACCGGCTCTGGCCCCGCTGTGGCCATCCTGGCACTGCCACCCCGGCAATTCCCGCTCTCTGCGCCCCCTCCGCGGCTCCGGGCACCTCGGGGACCGCCTGGTGACCCCGTGTCCGTCCCCAGGGCCATGCCAGTGCCACATCCCCCCTGCAGGGCACCTTCCTGCCCCTCTCCCGCTGCGTCCGCCACCTCCGGGCTTCCCTCGGGGGCCGCGTCCCTCGCCGCGTCCTGGTGGGCTCCAGAGCCCCCCGCCTCTGCTGGTCCCAGCTCGTTCTCTCCTGTCCCACCCAAAATTCCCAGTTTGGGAATTTCCCAGTTTGGATCTGGCTGCTCTTCTCCTGCCCCATCTGCCTTTGGAATCCCTGGTCTTGGTGATTCCAGCGGATCCTCTCCCGTTCCATCCAAAATTCCCAGTTTGGGAATTTCCCAGTTTGGATCTGGCTGCTCCTCTGCTGCCCCATCTGCCTCTGGAATTCCTGGTTTTGGTGATTCCATCTGCTCCTCTCCCGTTCCATCCAAAATTCCAATTTTCGGTGGCTCCAGCTGCTCCTCTTCTGCCCCATCTGCCTTTGGAATTCCAGGTTTTGGTGATCCCAGCTCGTTCTCTCCTGTCCCACCCAAAATTCCCAGTTTGGGAATTTCCCAGTTTGGATCTGGCTGCTCCTCTCCTGCCCCATCCGCCTCTGGAATTCCTGGCTTTGGTGTTTCCAGCTTGTTCTCTCCTGTTTCACCCAAAATTCCCAGTTTGGGAATTTCCCAGTTTGGATCTGGCTGCTCCTCTCCTGCCCCATTTGCCTCTGGAATTCCTGGTTTTGCTGATTCCATCTGCTCCTCTCCTGTTCCATCCAAAATCCCCATTTTCAGTGGCTCCAGCCGCTCCTCTCCTGCCCCATCTGCCTTTGGAATTCCAGGTTTTGGTGATCCCAGCTTGTTCTCTCCTGTTCCACCCAGAATTCCCAGTTTGGGAATTTCCCAGTTTGGCTCTGGCTGCTCTTCTCCTGCCCCATCTGCCTCTGGAATTCCAGGTTTTGCTGATTCCAGCCGCTCCTCTCCCGTTCCATCCAAAATCCCCATTTTCAGTGGCTCCAGCTGCTCCTCTCCTGCCCCATCCGTCTCTGGAGTTCCTGGTTCTGCTGATCCCAGCTCGTTCTCTCCTGTTCCACCCAGAATTCCCAGTTTGGGAATTTCCCAGTTTGACTCTGGCTGCTCCTCTGCTGCCCCATCTGCCTTTGGAATTCCAGGTTTTGGTGATTCCATCTGCTCCTCTCCCGTTCCATCCAAAATCCCCATTTTCAGTGGTTCCAACTGCTCCTCTGCTGCCCCATCCGCCTCTGGAATTCCAGGTTTTGGTGATCCCAGCTTGTTCTCTCCTGTTCCACCCAAAATTCCCAGTTTGGGAATTTCCCAGTTTGGATCTGGCTGCTCCTCTCCTGCCCCATCCGCCTCTGGAATTCCTGGCTTTGGTGTTTCCAGCTTGTTCTCTCCTGTTTCACCCAAAATTCCCAGTTTGGGAATTTCCCAGTTTGGCTCTGGCTGCTCCTCTCCTGCCCCATTTGCCTCTGGAATTCCTGGTTTTGCTGATTCCATCTGCTCCTCTCCCGTTCCATCCAAAATCCCCATTTTCAGTGGCTCCAGCTGCTCCTCTCCTGCCCCATCCGTCTCTGGAGTTCCTGGTTCTGCTGATCCCAGCTCGTTCTCTCCTGTTCCACCCAGAATTCCCAGTTTGGGAATTTCCCAGTTTGACTCTGGCTGCTCCTCTGCTGCCCCATCTGCCTTTGGAATTCCAGGTTTTGGTGATTCCATCTGCTCCTCTCCCGTTCCATCCAAAATCCCCATTTTCAGTGGTTCCAACTGCTCCTCTGCTGCCCCATCCGCCTCTGGAATTCCAGGTTTTGGTGATCCCAGCTTGTTCTCTCCTGTTCCACCCAAAATTCCCAGTTTGGGAATTTCCCAGTTTGGATCTGGCTGCTCCTCTCCTGCCCCATTTGCCTCTGGAATTCCTGGTTTTGCTGATTCCAGCCACTCCTCTCCTGTTCCATCCAAAATTCCAATTTTCAGTGGCTCCGGCTTCTCCTCTCCTGTTCCATCAAAAATCCCCGTTTTCAGTGGCTCCAGCTGCTCCTCTCCTGCCCCATTTGCCTCTGGAATTCCTGGTTTCACTGGCTCTGGATGCTTCTCTCCATCCACCTCCAAAATTCCTGGTTTTGGTGTTTCTAGCAGATCCTCTCCTGTTCCATCCAAAATCCCCACTTTTAGTGATTTCAGCTGCTCCTCTGCTGCCCCATCTGCCTTCAAAATCTCTGGTTTTCGTGTTTCCAGCTGTTCCTCTGCTGTTCCATCCAAAATCCCCATTTTTAGTGGCTCCAGCTGCTCTTCTCCTGCCCCATCCACCTCCAAGATTCCCAGCTGAGATGACTCCAGCTGGTTCTGCCCCATTCCATCCAAATTTCCCATTTTTAGTGACTCCAGCTGCTCCTCTCCTGCCCCATCCACCTCCAAAACTGCCGCTTTTGGCGATTCCCCACAATTCTCTCCTGCCCCATCCAAAATTCCTGGTTTTGGTGACTCCAGCTCATCCTCTCTTGCCCCATCTGCTTCCAAAATTCCCAGCTGGGGCAATTCCAGACGATTCTCTTCCACCCCATCGGAAATGCCCTGTTTTGGTGATCCCACTGCTCTGCCACCTCCAATTTGCTCATCTCTCCCTTCCTGTAAAATCACGTTAGAAACCCCAGTTTGGGGAGTTTTTCCCCCTGCTGGGATCGTGGGATCCATCCCGGCAGGATCTCCGTGGGGATCAGCTCCTGGTGCTTCCTGAAGGATCCGCTTGGCTTTGGGAGCGTGGAATTTCCCGTCGCCTGTTGTGTGCGGGGTGAGGGAAAAAGGAATTTTTTTTTTTTTTGATGGAAAGGAAAAAAGGAAATCAGTTTGGATGTGGGGAGACCCCAGCTGGGTCTCCCAGAAGGGGGAAATGACCCCAGCTGGGTCATTGTGGGCCCAAACTGGGATATTTGGGTGTTTTCCTTTTACCTGGGGTTGGGCGGCTCCTGCGTTTCCCCATCCTGGCGCTATCTAGGAAGGACAAAGAGCAACCCCAAATTACCTCTGCTCCCCAGGTCACACCGCCCCAGCTCCCCTCAGGCCCCAGCAGCCATTTTCCCCTCACCGCCCTCAACGCCCTCACAGGCCAAACAACATCCCCCAGCTTCCCTAAAGGCACAGCCGCGACATAAAACCCCAAACCCTCTGGGCCTTAGGTGAAAACAGTGGAATTTCCGCCGATTTCCACCTGATTTTCCACCTCGGGGCATTCTGTCACCGGCTCCCTCACGTTTTTCCCGCCTTTTCCCTGCCGGGAGCGGGGCACGCTGGGAGTTGTAGTTCTCCGGCGCCGCGAAGCAGGGCGGTTTTTACGACAGCGGCTTTTGCGACGGCGGTGCTGTAAAGCGCGAGGTGTTGACAGCGGCCGGCGGAGCAGGAAGTGAGTGCGGATAAACCGGGACAAACCGGGATAAACCGGCACAAAACGGGTTAAACCGGGATAAACGGCAGCACCGGCATCGGGGGGTGAGGCCTGCGGACAGCTGGGGGGTGACGGCGCCTTGCGGGGTGCTCTGGGAGGCGGCAGAAGGCGCGGCGGGGCCTTGTGGGGCGCGCCCGGGGCCTTGTGAGGAGCGGGGGGCGCCGAGATTTCTGGGGGGCTCTGAGGGGGATCGGGGCGCTGAAGGCGGCTCGGAGGGGCTCGTGGGAAGCCCAGGGTTTAAATCAGGGCGGGGGTCTGCCCGTGTTCCCCCTCCCCAGCTCGGCCCGGCGGGACGCGGAGCCATGAGCCGAGCGCGGAGGGCCCCGGGCCGGGGGGCGGCCATGGCCAGGCAGGTGCGTGCGACCCCCCGGGACCCCCTGCTCTGGCTGCCGGGGGGTCCCAAGCTCCCCTCCTCCCCTCCAGCACTTTGGGGATCCCTGGATCCCCGGATCCCCTCCCGGGGGTCCCTGGATCCCCTCCTGGGGGTCCCTGGATTCCCTCCCGGGGGTCCCTGGATCCCCTCTGGGGGGTCCCTCCCCCTCGAACTGCCCCCCAAAATCGGTTTGTGACCCCCCCCGTTCCTCCCCCCCCTCCAGATCTGGCAGCGGTGGAGGCCCTGGCCCGGCTCTGCCTCCGGGACCCCCCGGAGGAGGAGGAGGATGAGGAAGGGGAGGAAGATCTGGAGAACGAGGAGGAGCTGCTGGTGAGGGGGGAGGTGTTGGGCCTGGAAAAGGGGGTCCCTGAGCCTGGGTTTTGGGGTCCCCGAGCGGGTTTAGGGGTCCCCAAGCGAGTTTTGGAGGGATCCCCAATTCCCTCCCGGGGGTCCCCGGATCCCCTCTGGGGGTCCCTGGATCCCCTCCCGGGAGTCCCTAGATTCCCTCCTGGGGGTCCCTGGATCTCCTGGGGGTCCCTGGATCCCCTCCCGGGGGGTCCCTGGATTCCCCGAGCGGGTTTAGGGGTCCCCAAGCGAGTTTTGGAGGGATCCCTGAGGCTGTGTTTTGGGGTCCCCTAGCGGGTTTTGGGGATCCCCTCCCGGGAGTCCCTAGATTCCCTCCTGGGGGTCCCTGGATCTCCTGGGGGTCCCTGAATTCCCTCCGGGGGGTCCCTGGATCTCCTGGGGGTCCCTGGATCCCCTCCCGGGGGGTCCCTGGATTCCCTCCCGGGGGTCCCTAGATCCCCTCTGGGGGGGTCCCTCAATTCCCTCCGGGGGGTCCCCGGATCCCCTCCCGGGGGTCCCTGGATCCCCTCCTGGGGGGTCCCCGGATCCCCTCCGGGGGGTCCCTGGATCTCCTGGGGGTCCCTGGATTCCCTCCCGGGGGTCCCTGGATCCCCTCTGGGGGGGTCCCTCAATTCCCTCCCTGGGGTCCCTGGGTTCTCTCCCGGGGGTCCCTGGATCCCCTCCCGTGGGTCCCTGGATCCCCTCCCGGGGGTCCCTGGATCTCCTGGGGGTCCCTGGGTTCCCTCCCGGGGGTCCCTGGATCCCCTCTGGGGGGGTCCCTCAATTACCTCCGGGGGGTCCCCGGATTCCCTCCCTGGGGTCCCCGGATTCCCTCCCAGGGGTCCCTGGGTTCCCTCCCGGGGGTCTCCGGATCCCCTCCTGGGGGTCCCGGGATCTCCTGGGGGTCCCTGTATCCCCTCCTGGGGGTCCCTGGATCTCCTGGGGGTCCCTGGATTCCCTCCCTGGGGTGTCCCTGGGTTCCCTCCCGGGGGTCCCCGGATCCCCTCTGGGGTCTCCGGATCCCCTCCTGGGGGTCCCGGGATCTCCTGGGGGTCCCTGTATCCCCTCCTGGGGGTCCCTGGATCTCCTGGGGGTCCCTGGATTCCCTCCCTGGGGTCCCCGGATCCCCTCCCGGGGGTTCCTAGATCCCCTCTGGGGGGTCCCTGGATTCCCTCCCGGGGGTCCCTGGGTTCCCTCCCGGGGGTCCCCGGATCCCCTCTGGGGGGTCCCTAGATCCCCTCTGGGGGTCCCTGGATTCCCTCCCGGGGGTCCCCGGATCCCCTCTGGGGGTCCCTGGATCCCCTCCCGGGAGTCCCTAGATTCCCTCCTGGGGGTCCCTGGATCTCCTGGGGGTCCCTGAATTCCCTCCGGGGGGTCCCTGGATCTCCTGGGGGTCCCTGGATTCCCTCCCGGGGGTCCCTGGATCTCCTCCCCGGGGGTCCCTGGATTCCCTCCCGGTGGGGTCCCCGAGGTGGTTTTGGGGTCCCACCCGGCTGACTCCCGGCCCCCGTGCAGGCAGAGCTGCAGGAGGTGCTGCAGGAGGGGCCGGGGAGCGCAGACGAGGCACAGACCCCCCAGGTACGGGGACATCCCCGGGGACATCCCAGTGCTCCCAGTGTGGGGTCCCCGGATCCCCTCCCGGGGGTTCCTAGATCCCCTCTGGGGGGTCCCTGGATTCCCTCCCGGGGGTCCCTGGGTTCCCTCCCGGGGGTCCCCGGATCCCCTCTGGGGGGTCCCTAGATCCCCTCTGGGGGTCCCTGGATTCCCTCCCGGGGGTCCCTAGATCCCCTCTGGGGGGGTCCCCGGATCCCCCCCGGGGGTCCCTAGATTCCCTCCCGGGGGTCCCCGGACCCCCCCCGGGGTTCCCTGAGCGCTGTCGCCCCCTCCCCAGGCGGGGCTGCTGGCGGCTCCCGGTGCCGGGGGCGGCCCGGGCGGTGCCGGGGACGCGGCGCTGGAGGCGGAGCTGCTGCTGCTGCTGGGGGGCAGGGAGGCTCCGGAGCGGGGGGAGCCGCCCCCGCCCCCCCAGCGAGGTAAATCCCCCGACCCCGTGTCCCGGTGCTCCCAGTGTTCCGGTGTTCCCGCTGTTCCCAGTGCTCCCGGTATTCCCAGTGTCCCCGGTGTCCCCTGTATTCCCGTTGTTCCCAGTGACCCTGTGTCCTGGTATTCCCGGTGCTCCCGGTGTTCCCACTGTTCCCGGTATTCCCGGTGTCCCCGTGTCCCACTGTCCCGACTGTTCCCGGTGCTCCCGGTGCTCCCGCTGTTCCCGGTGTCCCCGTGTCCCGCTGTCCCCGTGTCCCGCTGTCCCCGGTATTCCCGGTGCTCCCGCTGTTCCCGCAGGATCCCGGCCCCGCGGGGGCGCTGCTGGCCGAGCTGGAGGAGCGGGCGGAGCTCTACCGGGCCGCCCTCGGCACCGCCGGCCCCGGGAACGGGACCGGGACCGGGACCGGGAACGGGACCGGGAACGGGACCGGGACCGGGAACGGGGCACGGCTGCGGCGCCTCCAGCGCGGCTCCCCCCATTTTCCCCCCCTCAGAGCCGGGCGGGATCGATCTGCCCCAAAAACCCGGGACACCGGGGTCCTGCTGGGGGTCCCGAAACAGCAGCTTGTCACACTCTGAACCTGTTTTGTGCTGTTTTCCACAACTCTGAACCTGTTGGGTGCTGTTTTCCACAATTCTGAGCTCAGTTTTGTGCTGTTTTCCACAATTCTGAACCTGTTGTGTGCTGTTTTCCACAATTCTGAACCAGTTTTATCGGACTTTTCCCAATTCTGAGCTCAGTTTTATCTGACTTTTCCCAATTCTGAGCTCAGTTTTATCTGACTTTTCCCAATTCTGAGCTCAGTTTTATCTGACTTTTCCCAATTCTGAGCCCAGTTTTATCTGACTTTTCCCAGTCCTGAACCAGTTTTATCTGACTTTTCCCAATTCTGAGCCCAGTTTTATCTGACTTTTCCCAGTCCTGAACCAGTTTTATCTGACTTTTCCCAATTCTGAGCCCAGTTTTATCTGACTTTTCCCAGTCCTGAACCAGTTTTATCTGACTTTTCCCAATTCTGACCAGTTTCATGACAATGAAATGCCATTTCGTTCCACTTGTTATTATTCCATTTGTTCCATATTATTAGTATAATTCCATTTATTCCATGTCATCATTATTCCATTTCATTCACTTAATTTCCTCTTTCCCATCAGTTTCCTTTCATTCAGTCCTGAGTCTTATCCCATTTCCTGCCTGCAGAATCCCCATTTTTCCCAACTCTGTCCCATTTCACCCCCTTTTTCCCAATTCTGCCTCAATTTTTCCCAATTCTACCCCCATTTCACCCCATTTTTCCCTAATTGTGCCCCCATTTTCTCCCATTTCACCCCATTTTCCCCCATTATTTCCCCATTTCACCCGATTTTTCCCTCATTTCACCCCATTTCCCCCCATTCTTTCCCCATTTCACCCCATTTCCCCCCATTCTGCCCCATTTCCCCCCATTTTCCCCCATTATTTCCCCATTTTCCCCCATTCTTTCCCCATTTTCCCTCATTCTTTCCCCATTTCCCCCCGATTTTCCCCATTCTCCCCATTTTTCCCCCCATTTCCCTGCGCCTGCAGGAGCTGCAGAGGGAGGCCGTGCAGGCCCGACGCCGCGGGGACAACGCCACCGCCCTGGGCCACTTCAGGGAGGCCAAGGTACCCCCAGAACTGCCGGACCCTCCCCCAAAATCCCCTCCCCTCCCCCAAAATCCCCTCCCCTTCCCCAAAATTCCCCTTCTCCCTGTGGTTTTCCAGAGGCTGGAGGCGCAGCTGGAGGCGCTGGGGCGAGGCCCTGCCGCCGGTGAGACCCCGACCCCCTTGGAAAAAAGAAAGGGTGGAACCCCCATTTTGGGGTAGAAAGCCCTCGTTTTGGGGGTCCTGGAGGGATCTGGGTGCTCCTTTCCTGCAGATCCCCAGGCTGAGGAGACGAGAGATCCTCCAGGGAAGGATCCACCAGGGAAGGATCCTCCAGGGAAGGATCCACCAGGGAAGGATCCACCAGGGAAGGATCCTCCAGGGAAGGATCCACCAGCCAGGGATCCAGCGGCCTCCAGCCCAGGTCAGCTCCCTCCTGGCAGGGGCAGCGGGCAGGAAAAGGGGGATCTGTTGGGATTTTGGTGTTCTCCCCCCCAGAGGCGCCCCGGGACGTGCGGGAGGCGCTGGAGCAGCGCATGGAGCGGTACCGGGCGGCCGCGGGCCAGGCCCGGGCCAGCGGGGACGCCAGGAAGGCCAGGATGCACGAGAGGATCCTCAAGGTGGGAGCAGCGGGACCCCGGCGTGGGGCAGGGGGCAGAGCGGGGTCCCTGTCCCAGAGCTGGGGTCCCACTGCGAGCTGGGATCCCAGTCCTGTGATCCCAGTGCAGAGCTGCATCCCAGATCAGTGATCCCAGTCCCAGATCAGTGATCCCAGTCCCAGATCCATGATCCCAGTCTAGGGCTGGGATCCCAGTGCAGAGCTGCATCCCAGAGCTGGGATCCCAGTCCCAGATCCATGATCTCAGTCCCAGACCAGTGATCCCAGTCTAGAGCTGGGATCCCAGAGCTGGGATCCCAGTCCTGTGATCTCTGTCCCAGATCCATGATCCCAGTCCCAGTCCTGTGATCCCAGTCCCAGATCAGTGATCCCAGTCCCAGTCCATGATCCCAGTCCCAGATCCATGATCTCAGTCCCAGTCCGTGATCCCAGTCCAGACCAGTAATCCCAGTCCCAGACCAGTGATCCCAGTCCCAGATTCATGATCCCAGTCCCAGACCAGTGATCCCAGTCCCAGAGCAGTGTCTGGTCCCAGTCTCCCCACAGTGACACCAGTTCCTCCCTGTGGGTGCTCCCAGTCTGGCTCCCAGTCTATCCCCAGTGTTCCCAGTCTGTCCCAGTATGTCCCCAGTGCTCCCAGTCTGTCCCAGTCTGTCCCAGTGTGTCCCCAGTGCCCCCTGACCCCCGTGCCCCCTCCCCAGCAATACCAGGGATATCCTGCTCCCAGTTTCCCCCCACAGTGACACCAGTCCCTCCCTGTGGGTGCTCCCAGTCTGTCCCAGT